CTACCCCCCTGAAACTGATCGCTGTATTACTCATATAGCTGAGAGGGTTCCGTTGGTCACAGAATAAATGATTCCTATGCATTTGGTTGAGCATGCTGCAACTGTGTGGGTGATTGTAGATGGAATAGTTTTGTCACTAATTTCGTAACTTTCTTCGAGGCCCTCTATTTAGAGAGCCGTAGGGTTGGAAACGGAACGTATATTGTTTACACCATTAACACTGGTCGTGTTGGGGTGACAAAATAACAAGGGCGAATGTAACAACTTGTTGAAATGTTTTGTTACGAAACACGACATGTCCGGCGCTTTTTGTAGCCGCATTAACGGACAATGGTGGCGTTTTGTGCTGTGATTTGTGTTCCGTAAATGACAACGTGTTATGGAAATGGGGAAACGCGAGGGTGTAAATTCCAATGACGGACGTTTCGATAACGATATTGGTTTTTATGGTGAAATATAATTGATGCGGCATTCTTTACGAAGTGAAAATTTATTTATCTTTATGTACATATAATATTATCAGGCCGAAGAAAGGAACTGAGTCGTGCTCTTTGATAGTTTCTTTCCAATGGATGATTAATTTACAATAAATAATATATAAATTGTAATTTATTTCACTTAAATTGGATAAGAAAAATAAAATACTATTTGGATGATTTTAACCATGTACTTCCCGAAATGACATTTCCTAACTGCAACAATTTCTAAAAAATAGCTTTCAAATTAAAGCTTGCAATTTTTTTTTATCTTTTGTTATGGGAAGTATTGACCTATAACCGTCCATGAAAATGTTCTGGCATGATTTTTTACCTACTTATATTTAAGGTCACTAACACTTAGGGAGATTACTCATGCAGAACTTTTTTGTTTTCAACTCAAAACAGAATGTATTTATGAGATAAATATGTGGCTTGTCAAGTCCGAAAAAAATAGAAATATAATTTTATTTTAAATAATATTTTAAATTAAGAAATAAATTTATTTTCCTTTATAAGAGAGAGTGGCAACATTTATGACTAGATGGCGCTGTTGGTAAGCTATTGGCTTCGGCACTGGTAGTCGTGGGTTCGATCCCCATAGGACAAGTAAGTGTGATGGGTCCTTCGCCCGCTCCACCGACGACTGGCAGATGGCAGGTCTTAAATCTACCCAATACCAATAACAACATATATCACAATGTACAGAACCCACCTAAGTGGGATATGGGCAGAAGAAAAATTGGCAACATTATCATCACGCACGTATTTACATATCCATGGAGATGCGAAACATTACAGTAAAGACGCTTAGTCTTATGCAAGATGGTATTAAGTTTAATTTGTTTTCTTTCCTAATGATTTTACGGTACCAAAAGCACGGTGCAATCGCGCAGGCAAAGTGTCGTAAATTAATTAAGCGGCTTTCATTAGAATGTTACTCCGAAACATTTGCCCGCTCCGTCGCTAAAGATGTCTGAAGACATTTAATCATAACAGAAGGTATCCCGAACGCATTACCAAAAGATAGCATACAAAAAATGTTTCGAATACGGCTTTAAGTCAAGGGCGATGAGCGATTTTACTAAGAAAATTGTATCTTTGATATAACTAACCAAAATATTTGCAAATGACATTTAAAATTATAATTTTTCGACAACTTTTTTTTTGGAAATTTATGTGTATTAAAGTAATTAGAGACACAATTTTGGTAGGCGATAAGAATGATTAATATTGTTAGTAACTCTGCGCATAATCTGGCCTCATACAACAGCTTTATAGGCTGTTGTTGCTCTATTACTTATGATAATAAGATTTCAAACTGCTGAGGTGTAGTTCTATGAAACAGTAGGTCATTCAAAACTTAACTTCAGATTCGAGTTTGAATCACCTTTGAAAGAATGAGTTAATAACGTTCCGAATTATATACATTAATATTACCTAATACTAGGTAATTTCAGTTAAGAATACAGATGCGAAAAACGCATTGATGTAGTTAAAAAAAAAAGCGGAAGTTAAGGGAGATTTAGACGTTCGACTGTAAATTGTATCAGGCCTAATATCGTAACAGAGGGTGGTGATCCCCTTAATGCGTTTGCATAATGGCCGCCATTAAAGCATTTATAACGAGCCGTTGGTTACTGCCCTTAAACGAGGATATTTTCCTGTGCAAACTAAATACGAAGGAATCCCGACATCGAATAGTTATGTCGAAGACGCTTAAAAGCTTCCAAACATCTTACTTTCTTGATTTGGACCATTTTTTTAGATTTATAACAATTATGCTTACGAAATTTGTCACATTGACGATTCCTGTTTCATCAGATAATGATTTCAGTTTTTGGTTTAGGTTTGGTTCCGGTGCTGATAAGTTCTTTTAATGTTAACACTTTAGACGCATTCTTTGTGGGCATTTATAGAAAATAAACCGCCACGTTTTGGCATCTGTTTCTACAGAGATATTGCTTTACTAAAATTATCATATTGATTACAAATGACATCGCTATTGAGTAAACAAATAAATGATCGATATAAATCAAATTATAGAGGTCTACCATTACGTGCATATCGTGGAAAAATTGCTGGGTAGATTTCTATTAATTATTTAAAGTTTCATTATTTAAACACTCCACGCAAGAGCACTGTGTATTCTTGTCGTAGAGGAGACGTAAGCGACGTAGAGTCTTGGGTACCAGTTTGATGACAATAAATATTGTGCTTTAAAATGAACGCGATGACCTTTTTATGATTCGTCGAAATTTTTGTGGGGTTAAGGGATAACCTCTTAATTCTTGAGGTTTATATTGGTGTTAATTACTTGTCCATTAATTAATACCACAGACCAGTGTATGTCATTTAAAATATAGTTACTTTTATCTACATTGCTTTGATTAAATCTTGTTAAAATACTTAATGTTGCATATTTTTTGCATCACTATCATTATCATTTCAGCCTGTTTGAATCCTCTACTGAACGTAGGCCTGCCCCATAGATTGCCACGAAGAACGATCCTGAGCCACCTGCGTCCATCGACTTCCCGCACATTTGCACAGGTCGTCACTCCATCTAGTGCGGGGTCGTTCTACACTGCGATGGCCAGTACGAGGCTGCCACTCGAGAACCTTTCTTCCCAATGGTTATCGGTAGGTTCTTGTTTGATTGACTTTTACGAAAGAACTTAAGTTTCATTCCTGGAATCTCAAGTGTTACTTTGTGCGCTTTAGCAATCTTCCAAATTCTTTACTTCCTTGAGCTTTGTATAATTCAGATTTTTTTCTGTTGCCGTCTATTACTCGTGGATTATGTTTTATTGATTTTACCTGTTGGTATAATCTCTGATCTACTCTTGTGTACTATTTTAGAATTATGTTTACAATAACTAATATTAGAATTGGAAAATCAGGTTAAAAAAAAGAAGATTTTTGTTTTGTAGCCTTTGTTTAATTTTAACTGTTTCGTTCAGTTACATATTTGTCAGCGTGCTAATTGTTTGGGTATTTCAAAATTTGGCGGGACATTTAGGGTGCGTTAACACCAACGATTAAGTGGATGACGCTGAAAATGGATGACAGTAGGACGAAATGAAAAGTCGAGTGTCCCGAGTCGAGCGCACTTAATAAATGACTACAGTGACTGGCTGTTTCTTTAATTGTCAAAAGCAGTAAAGCAAAGTGCACACTACGCGGAAATGTGTTATTCAATACTTTACATATAAAGAATTTGACTCGGGACGACTTTCAGTGGTTTTCACCTTCATTTTTAACAATATCATCTGTAAAATCGCTGTCGTTTATACGCTGAATTCTTTCTGATGTTTATTTTTTTTGGAAGATCTACACATCTTCCAAAAAAAAGTAAGTCACTGGCTAAGTGATTTCCACGGCCTATGGGTTTGCAATACCGGTGTGGTCGCAGATGCTTCGTCAACCTTTAAAAGAGTGGCATTTAATAAAGCCGTTGGAACGTTGACATTTGCTTATTCCGTGGACCTAATTGGAGTGAAAGCTGTGGATGCTTATTGTATCTTTATTTGAAATTGGCACATCTTTGCAAGAATAGACAAATATAACTTAGATCATCCGTGTACAAATTACGAGGACATTTATGATCATTTTAGCATTTTCTTAAAACAAAGTAGGGCTTCGCAAAGGCCTGAGTAACTCAGCCTAAGGACCTTGTAGTCAGATGAAAAAAAAAAAAACCGGACTCGGTTTAATAACTCTATAGATTAATTAAAATTAAAAAATAAGGTGATAAACAAAAAATAACGTATTCATTAAAATTATTAAAAAAAAATTCTGGATTTTATCTCTATCACGTTCGACATTATGGAATATGTTGATACATTGTATAAGTTCAAAAATTCTTTCTATTGGTAACTAAATAATGTTATTCATTGCAATTATGCAAGCAACGAAAGTAACTTAACGTAAAGTATTTGAAGTCTGGAATATAAGTTTTCGTCCCCGATTCTACACCTAACAAATAACCTTAAACAAATTCATCAATGTTGTTATGTTTGTCGTTAAGTAGAATCGTGGGCGCTATAAAATCAGAACCCAGATGATCGTATACTGGCCGATACATCGAGATCTTCGTCGGCGAACCAAATCATTTTAATTTCTGTCCTTAAAACGGGTCCTAATCCTGACCCTAAAGTCGAGACCCAATGTTCATCAGGTACTTTAACTCAAACTCAAACTCAAATTTATTTATTCAATATAGAAGCATTACACTTACTTATTGATTGTCTGACCTGAGAAGAACCAGCGAAAGAAACTCAGCGGGACATTTTTTTTTTATTTTATTTGTCAAAGAAATAAACAACATGTGTACAACTGTGAAATAAGTCCCCTAACGTGGTCTTCGCAACAGCCACACCGCCATACCGTATGAAGCGGGCCCCATGCACTGTAAACTACATCGGACGAGCCTGCCCATTCGCGCAACAGCCGAGGCTGCTGCGTGGCCCTACCACAGTAACCCTACCATCCTCTAAAAGTAGTATTCACGACGACATGTCATTCAAAGCCAGGACTCAAAGGGTCGAATTTGTCCTCCGGGCTGCGACCTTCGCGCCAGTGTAGCCAGGACTGCGAGCATTGTCTTCGTCTGACCTCGCAGCCGGGGAGATCGCGTGCGCTCTCTATCGGCTTGCGCAAGCGGCACATTGCTTCGCTGAGCAACCGGGCCGCGCCTGAATCACTTCCGCCGTGTGTACACACGTCCTCGCCTCCGCTCGTTGCGCTCCGCACACGTCCCTAATGCCGTACCCATTTTATTTTGTTACTAATCCACATATAAATAGGCAACAAGAAAAAGGAGAAACAGTTCTCCAACTTTTCCTCCTCTATTTTTCAAAGATTTTTCTGTATTTGAATGAATGAATAAATGAAATATGCTAAAGCATATTCATATAATTTTGTCTGGTGTACAATAAATTGTGCACCAGACAAAATTACAAATGTAAAAAAAATATATAAAGGTGCAATTATAAGCGATTTCGCTTAGATCGACTGTATTTGTTTCATTTAGTAGATATAAATAGGCAAAAGAAAACAGTTCATTACGTTTTCCTCTTTTGTTTGTCAAAGCTTTTTCTTTATTTGCTTTGTTTAGTGGATAGTAGACCTTTTGTGTCATCAATAAAAGAAATAATCGGCGACTGTGAACGTACAGCGCGCGAGGAACTAGTGCAGCTTACATTTTTTTTTATGCGAAAAGTTGTCAAGCGAGCAGACGGGTCACCTGATGTTAAGTGAATACCGCCGCCCATAGACATCTGCCACAGAGGGTTACAGATGCGTTGACAACCTTTTCAAAATTGGGCTCCGGCTACCTCACTCACCACACGAAACGCGAAAGTATTTGTCATACTTCCACTTTACGCTGGTCTTCTGTGAGGTCGTGGTACTTACCCGGACGGGCCTGCCCATTCGTGCTACAGCCGAGGCTGCTGCGTGGCCCTACCACCGTAATGAGTTAGTTTAGAAATTGGCCGTAACGGGATTTTGTCAGGGTTACTTAATCCCAAGTTCAACATTCAAGTAGTAACAGTTTTTCTTTTTGGACTAACAAAATAATTACAACGCAGTGTCTAAATCCCAGTGAATATTCATGAAATGTTAAATTGTCATTGGTATTATACATGTTAGTTGGTGCACGTGTGTTCCATCTTTACGCAGCAACATCATGACATTTTGATTTCGATAATGCAGAAAACAATATAGCGGTACGTCAAGATTAATTAATAAATAAACATTTTAATTAAAACATAACGTCGTTTGTTGTTAAAGTTTAGTTTTTCAACAATTATTTATCATTGGTTCAACAATTATTTATCACTAAGACTTGTATGGCATACATTTCAATTGCTTAAATTAAGATTTCTTGTCGATTGTTACCTACTAATTGTTTTTTTCCCTACAAAATGAATACGTGCATAAATCAATATTAATTATTGCAATAAATGAAGAACAAAAAAAAGCATATATACAAACAATATAAAATGAATAACAACATAAGAACAAAACTTATTTAAAATAAAACAGTAGGATGATGTTTATAACCAAAAGTAATTTATTCCTATTCAACCTTTGCATTTTTTATTTTAAAACGCAATTTTTATTTAGCTCGACCCGTACGGAATTTATTTGTTTATTTGAGTCAAAATTAGAAATTGAAATTTAAGCACCTTGCCGTTGTCAGATTGATCTGAAATTTGGTACACACATTTAATTTAGATGACAATTTAACAAAAAAAAAAACATAAAATAAAACCGTTTAACTTAAAAGTTTTTAAACGGTTTTATTCTAATATTGAACACATCGGACCAGTGTGGAACAGAGCGAATCGCGACGAAGCCCACGACGTATCACTGCTTTTACTTGTAACATCCTCAGGGGCGTTACACGGTCCAGCTCTCGCGTCGGCTTCGAGCGAATTACTTAATAAATTATTTTGCATTAAACCAAAACAATTCGCACTTGGCACGAGGCATCTTTACGTCTTATGGCCTTTATCGCGAGCGAAATAAGGCTTAAAACGAAGCCGATCGCCGTCAAAAAACGCGCATTGGTTACTTTGTCCGTATGTGTCCTGTCATTATGTTTGGAGGTCGTAGCGCGGAGGATGCGTTTTCCATTTGCCACAATCCGTAGAGCTATTTGAGGGCAATTAGACGTTCCTTGGACGTTTTGCTTTATGATTGATACTTCCCCCCGGGAACCTTTCCCCCCGGTCCCGTGAAGGTTTCGCGTTTCGCTAATTAAGTCGTGAACTAATTGACAATAGGTAATAAAAACTTTGGAAATTGTTGACGGAATATTTTATTTTGTTTTAAAAATAATGCCTTAGGATAACATAATCCTGTGTTGTAAGGGCGTTTTACAAACATAAATTTCACGCGGACAAACACCCAGATGCGAAACAACTATCTGTGGGTCACACAAATTTATCCTGGTGTATGATCAGATAGCAGTTTCTCCTGTTGCTTGATTTGCATACTCGTCCAGGGAAGTAATATAGCCTCGCAGTTGTATCTGAGAACTGATATTTTTAAATTGATATTTTTATTTTTATCAATGTTAGCGTGTCGCTGGTCGCCCAACGCTCCTTAATATTCTTTTTAAAAATAATGTTGCAAAATTAGATTTTGTACAAACTTTTTTTATGCAGGAGTAAATAAACATTGACAGGTCGAACCAAAATATCTTAACTTTAAATTCTAAATAATAGATGCCGCGGAAATCAATAAAAACAGAAGTCCAAGAGTTAAAGTAAAATTATCATAAAGAATAAACATCAGTGTTATGGGGAATGTTGATATGGGATGACAGGGTAGGCAAAGCTATTGCTTGTATGAAGTGCACGAGCCTGAATGCAGCTATAAAAGATGCCATTTAAAATCGCGAATTATATTTACGAATATTTTGAAAAAATATTTTCATTTAATAATAACTCCATTTGAATAACTATCGCATTTAATGTGAAATTCAAATTGAGGTCTGTGTTTTTTTATGTGAGAAGGTGGCGATCGAGCTGGTGGTTCACCGGATTTTAAGTGATAACCGCCACCCATTAACATTTGCCACACTCATAGGGTTGCAGATACTTTGCCACCTTTAAATAAAGTGGGCCCCGGCTACCGCACTCACAAGCCGAAACGCAGAAGTCTAACACTTCCACTTAACGACGCTAATCTTTCGAGGTCATGGTACTTATCCGGACTGGATTGCCCATTCGTGCAGCAGAGAAGGCTGTTGAATGACCCCACCACCGTTAGTTTAGTCTGTGATTGCATCCTCACATAAACCAAAATAAACAGCACTCATTCCGGCGGTGTACAATGATTTAACACAATTAATGCTCCCGCTGCTGTGGCCTTAATTGGGAAGCTCTAATTAGATGCGCCACGCATCGGTCGTGAGCGGCAGCTAGGCCGAAATCGTACCCATCCATTCACCTTGGCGTACAAAGGGGACCAAGGTCCACGCGGCACGGAATAAGACAAATTCGCTTTGTCTTATTAATTGCCCCTCGACTTGGCGTGACCGAGTTGTGGACGGAAAACATTTTTGTTCTAGAATGGTCATGTTTACAGGGTATCGTATTGGAGCTTTGATATTCACCATTGCCTTACCAATGCTTTTGTGAATTCTTTGCTATTAGTATCGTCCATGGGTCGCAGTGATCGCCTCCTATCAATTGCGCTCTGCACGTTTCTTCTCGTTCCTGCCCGACTCTTCCATAAGATCCCACAGATAACGATTAGGGAATTTCGACAAATTTGTACTTATCTTATATATCAGTAAAAATAATCATATATATAAAATTATCTTATATATCTTAAGTAAATATAAGTATCTTATATATCTTGAATTTCAGAGAAGTCCATGTCGTAAATTACACAATCTTTTTAGAAAAGAGTGAGTATTAAAATCAATATCTTTTCTAAAAAACTAGTTGTTATGCTATGTTACCTTTGCTGTCAAGAATTTTAAAAGCAAAGGTGACATTTCTAGCTTTAAAATATTTCATTGTAAAATATCATATGTACATACGTGTACAACGACCACTTTTTGGCCGTTTGCTGTAAAGGAAATTTTCGTCGGGCGCGTATCTCATAGGAAGAAAACCAATGGACGAAAAGTTAATCTTAAAGTTTTCGTCCATTTTTCTAAAAAATTTTGAATTGGAGTCTAGTCGGCCAACGTATCAATGCTTCGTCTGACTTTGTTATTTTTTGTATGTATGCGAGCCAGTTTTCGATCTGTGAATGTTGTTACCAAAAATAAAAATAGGAACTGTAATTGAAATGAAATCCGGGCACCAGTCGCATTGTTTGTTCAACCTTCATTGATTTTTTGTTTGCCCGCGAGCGGTGGAATCAATCGAGAACGGATGTGCTGTCATTACACGATGACGTATCATGTAATGATACTGTATGTGTCTGTAAATAGCCTCAGCTAGTAGCTTAACACTTCTCTGAAGAACACGACTATTGGTCATACCATATGTTTATTAAAAACTTATGTTATAATCACAATACATCAGAACATAAAGGTTTTTCATTATAAGATTGCTACAAATCTACATATCTAGTGGATTTCTATGAAACGTTTTTTTTAAAAGCATGCTATAGGTAATCCCAAATGTACCGGGTATGTTTCAAATCTGCATAAAATTTCTGCTATTTGAATTACTACTGAGATAATGCTGCTAGTTTCATAATAAAAGTGTTTAATTTGATAGGTGACTCCATGGGACTGTTGCAAAAGTGTTTGCATCGGTGCAAGGGGCCGTAGATTCGATTTCCACAATGGACAACAATTTGTATGATCCACAGACAATTTTGACGGATCAGGGTATTTGTCCACGTAAAATTTATGTTTTTAAAACGTCCCTACAGTACATCATAATATCCTACAGTACGGGCAATGTTTTTTTTTTAAAAACAAACTAAAGGAAAAAGATAAAAAGGAATGTTAAGCAGGAATTATTAAGGGAATTGAGAAACTGTGTAAAAAGTACGTTCGTGTCATAATTAATTTGTTAAAAGATTAAAAAGGTAAATAGAATTAAGGAACGCCTCAGATATTCAATTCACGAGGTATGTAATGTAAGCGGCACGAGGTGTAAATGTAGATGATTTATTTTACTTTCTTATAATTTATTTGCCGGAATTTGAGTAAAGAACGTACACGGTTACGATTACTAATTAATCAGCGATGGCTATCTTAGAACTTTTTAATGTTTCTTACGTAATCGTGGCAAATTTGATTCAGACAAACTCTACGTCTTAAGACAGCCTAATTTATGTTCTATATTCAAATAACTATGATGTAAATATGCATTATTCCGACAACAGCGCCATCAGACGGATACCGGTCATTCAGTTTTGATTTTCAGATGGAAATTAAGGCTGCATATACGCTGAGATGCGGGTAAAAGTAAGCTTACAGTAGAGGTTAGTGTTTCTCTAAAACGCTACGTGTGTAGTCGGCTTTATAGTCACGGTTAACATGTAGCGGATTCGGCACGCGTCTCGTCTACATCGTCGGGCACCGCGGGCGATACTCGCAGTGTCGTGTGCAAGTGTAGCCAGAAATATTTTTAATCCAAACAAATACGCGGACGCTCTTCAAAATAAATATTGTCGGCGGATAGTGTAAAGGGGCGTACAGTAACACCGCTACGGCTCTATTAGAACTGTGCTGTTCGGCAAGACCTCTCGGCCCGCGCAGTTGGGTTGTAAACGATATAGCTCTGTTGTGTTCTATCAATGTATATTCTTTTGCTCCGTCGCTGAAGCTTAGACACCGCAGGTCCCGAACTCGGTTCCCAATTAACAGTATTTATGACTAACCAATGATTGTAGTAGTTCGGCATGTTTATTAAAAATCTCTACGATACAGCGTAAGTCGACGAAAATTC